CTGTCCTGTGTCACATCGTCAATAAACACTAGTGTCTCAGTTCCACTTGCAGCCATGCACGCCAAGCCAACCCACTGCCTCTGCCTGTCTTTTACAGATGATATGATATGCTTTGGATCATGAGCTAGCCTTCCTATTCTTGAAGCTTGTTAGCGGCTGGCGCCTTACAGTGAACTTCTCTCTATTTATTTTCATACATTCTTCTCTTTATGTTAGACTTGGACATCGATACACCTTCCTCCTGGAGAGTGTTTTTTCACTTGTTTGGCTGTTGTGAAGGGATTTCTCATCACCATGGAAATTTTTCTGTGATCATCCACCACTGTTGTCCTCCATGAATAGCCAGGTCTTTTTGTGTTGCTGAGTTTACCAGTGCTTTCTCACTTTCTCGGGATGTACTAAACTAAACTTTACAACTCACAATAATGTAGCAATTTCTCAGATGGGTTTTTTTTTCCTGCACAGCTTAAGGATGGCTTGTTTTACCCACATGGTGAGCTGCTTTAACCGCATTTTGTCTGTTCACAGCAAAATCTTCCAAATGCAAGCACCACACCTCAAATCAACTGCAGGCTTTTTATCTATTTAGTTGATAAGGACATAACGGGGGAATTACCCACACCTGCCCATGAAATAGCCTTTGAGTCAATTGTCCGGTTACTTTTAGTTTCTTTAAAAAGAGGGTGGCACATGTTAAGGAGCTGAAACTCTGAAATGCTTCATCCTTTTGGAATCTGCATACCCTCAAATACCCAACACACCTACAGATTTTGTGCAGACTCAGCTCTATGCCCATTATATAACTAAATTGGAATAAACTGGTAAAAATCAACGATTGTGTCCAAATATAAATGGGCCTAAATGTATGTTATTCTCTTACTTTACAGCTCTTCCTGAACCTAAACTGACAGTGAGCAGATCAGAGATCACAGAAACAGATTCAGTCAAACTGAAATGCGAGGCTCCATCCTCTGTTCCTATGTCTCAGTGTTCTTTCTACTCTTCCACTGGAGCAACTGTTAAAGAATTGCCCTGCTTAACGACACTGACAGCAACCGAACTGCTGAAGATGGCAAATCTCAAATCACCTGCTACTGTTAAACTGAACTGTTTTTACACAACGCAGCCTGGAGCACCAAACTCTCCATACAGTAACTTTTCCAACATCATCATTCAAAGTCAGTAGCTTTACCACTGATTACTGATGGCATCTTAATGCAGCCTCAACACAAGTAACACATACTTTTAGCATGTTGCTCATGTTCACAGATATAATCCTAATGTTAATTAATGCTTCAATTCTTCAGCTCCTCTTCCACCTAAACTCATCGTTAATTCACTGGTGATCACAGAGACAGACTCAGTCACACTCAACTGTGAGACTCCCCCATCTGTTTCTGTGCCTGAATGTGATTTCTACACTTTGAGTGGAGGAATAGTCAACAGGTTTTCCTGTCTAACGACACTGACAGCAACCAAACTGCTGGAGTTGGCACATCTCAGATCACCTGCTGAAATTAAGCTGAAATGTTCTTACACTGCACGGTCTGGAGAGTTAACATCTCCATACAGTAACATGTCCACCATTAAAGTACAAAGTAAGTGATTTTCTATTCTACCCTATTATATATTGGACATATACAATAATACATTATATAATACAATATACAACACATTATATATTGTATAATTTTAGGGTCTACCTTAAAATATAAAGTGCCTTAAGGCAACTGTTTTTGTAATTTGGTGCTCTATAAATAACATTGGAATTGAAATATTCATACAATATCATAACAGCAGATGTTGTGTATCGTAACATTTCAGTTTTAAATGTGACTTCAGTGGAAAATCCAAAGGATGCAAGCACGACAGATTTAACAACCATCATTCCTGATAAAACATCATCATCATCATCATCATAAAACATAATGTGTTTTAAGTTTGTCCACTATTCTAATTTAAAAAAACATTAGTGTCACATACAGTAAATATTATTTAATTACACAACAGTAACTGTTCTAATTAAATCTTTGTTTTACAAAACCAAATTTACAGAAGTTCTGTTTCTGTATAAAGATGTAAATAAAAAGAAAATTTAAGGATGTAGAAATGGACTTTCTATTCCACCTCATTCACAGTATGCTAATCACAGATGTTTCCTGCTGTAATATTCCAGTCTTAAATTGTGTTTAGGGACAACTTCAAAGGATGGAAGAACCACAGATTTAACCACTGTCAGACCTGGTAAAAAAACACCTGGGCACAAAGTTCACACACGTATCTATCATGAACATATGTCATTGTTACAGTGTGCCTGCAATATCATTTTCTAGTTTGTCCACTACTGTTCCACATGTTATGTAATCACATAAAATAACAGGTATAAACCTATCTGTTTTCAAATTTACAAAAAAATATAAATAAATCCAGAATGCAATGATTTTTTTTAATCTTATCCGCCTGTATTTTATTCACAACCAAATGAATACAGTACAAAGTGAATGACTTTCTTTTCTTTCATTTATACATTTATGCAGTATCCTCATCACAGATATTTTGTGCTATAACATTTCACTTTTAAATGTTTATTTAGGAGCAAATCTCAAGGATAAAAGAACCACAGATTTCACAACCTTCAATCCTGGTACACTATCATCTGGGGAGACAGTTGATAAAGGTATCCTTCATTAAAATATTTTACTGGGACAGCGTGACATTTCTTTTTTCTTTTTTTTTTTGGTATTTTTGTTATCTTTGTTGTTGTTGGTTGTTTTTTTTTGTTTCAAGTTTGTCCACTACTCTGTTTTTAAAATACTGGTGCCACATAAATGTTATCTAATTACAAAACAGTAACAGATCTGAATTTATCTTTGTTTTATGACTCAGAATCCAAAAAAGTTATAATGCTGCGTAAGCTTCAGATAAAAACTAAATGCAAAGATTTAGTTTAGATTTAGGCCATGTAAAACCAGAGTCATGATAAACAATATATAGGCAGCGTTTTTTCCTCAATAGTTTCATCACGTTTACTGTCTAAGGACAGCGCTAGCAAGCACTCTCTGCTTATGAGCAAAACAAACAAACAAACAAACAGAGGTCGTTTTAGGAGTGTTTTAGGAGTGACGGCTAGAGAGAGAGAGAGAGAGAGCAGGAAAGAGCAGATAGAGAGAGAAAACGAGTTTTGAGATGTGAGAGATTTGTAACGTTTAGCGTATTTGGAGTGTGTAATTGATGTGTTGTCTTGTGTAGTTAGTGTGTAGTGTTTTGTGTTGTGTGTCAGAACAATGAGGCGACTGCTGTCTCCAGGTAGAAAAAGGAGTGATACACCTGCTGCTGTCAGACCTGCAGGTATCAGGCTGTGATGTTCTCCTTTATAGTGGACAGAAATTATTGTTTTGGAGTGGCACAAATAATTTGTGTGGCATCTTATTGAATGCAGAACAGCTGATTGTTCTGTAAATAGTTTGAAATGGTTATTTAAAAAAATCAAGGTAAAAGGTAAATGGATGCAAATAACTTTATTGTTTGCAAAACTTGTGCATAGGATTTTAAAATTGACAAGTTATGAAATATGATTCATTAAACATATGTGTGGTTGCTACAGTTAAAAATATAACTTTTTCTACTCTGATTTTATGTTTTGTGTCTGATTTTAGATCAATTGTGTTAATACAGTATGTCAAAATGAAAACATGACTGTAAATTTAGACACGTGAGGTTGTGCTGAAAAGGATGATACCAAACAGGGCAAAGTAAATAGTTTTTAAAGGTGAAATGTGGAGGGAAAATCAAAAGTAGTTAAAAATGGCCAAGTATACCCTGGACCCCAGAGGGTTAAACATTTTTTTAAAGTAACGCAAGTTACTTTTCAAGTAATTAATTACTTTTAGAACATTGTAACTCAGTTACTAACTCAGTTACTTTTTTGAAGAAGTAACTAGTAACTATAATTAATTACTTTTCAAAGTAACTTGCCCACCACTGCATAGGATACATGTTATATAATCTCATAAAAATAACAGGTATAAGTCTATCTTTGTTTTCAAACTCCAAATTTACAAATAAAAATAAATCTCTATGTGATGGTATGTTATTTTGAAAAAACAAATCTCAAAATGTAACCAACATTTTAAATTATCATCTTAGAAATGGTCACTCCATCATCTATGGTAAACAATTTGTTAATGGTTGGTTTCACTGTCTCAGTCTTAGTTTTGTGCAACTGAAAAAGTAAGATTTTCTTGTTTATGACCTCTTGTGCTGCAAAACAGATGCACTGATATGGAAACTGGTGGTTTCAACTGGTTGTGGAGTTGCTGTGGGTGTTGTCTTACTGGGATGTCTACTTGTGAGGAATCTGAAAAGAACTGGTGAGAAATGCTGTTAATTTTTATTTATCTTTTAATGATCTTCAAATACACTTTTTATTTAAATTGAGAATTAGACAAAATTATTTTAAATGCAAATTGTATCAAGGTTTTTCCACTTTTATTTTTACAAAAAAAATTCTAGTTCATTTTCAGGATTTGCATAGACATTTGCATAGAAATAATAAATAAATAAATATATGTGAGCTTTTTATCTGCTTCATTTATTTTCTCAATTTAATATAGCTATGATATCATGTGCAGTCGAGTCAGATGGAAAATTGGATTGGGCATGGAAGCTCATAGTTTTGCGTGTTGTAGCATTATAATTCCAAAGTAAATATCTCAAGCCTAAATTACATCTCATGTCATGTGACTTAAAACTTAAGCTTCTGTGTCTACTGATCAGAACTGGTTTGTTTAGTTTTACTTTAGTATTTCTTTTCTCCAATATTTCCTTATGGATCATGAAAGTTGTTTGATCAGCAATTACTTTTATGTTTTCTTTTTTTTTAATAGTTCCAGTAAATTCTGTTACCAGCAGGTAAGACATGCTTTAACTTTTTCTGCAACTGTTTCCAATGGTTTCTGTATTATGTCCATGAAAATCACTGTCTGGTTGTTTTTTCTTGTAGCTCACAAGCCCACTGCACTGGTATTGTAAACGCTAAGTGACTTTGAGCTCTTTGCAATTCTTATCTATAGTATATACTATGTATATGTTTATACTATTTTTTTTTTTACTTTCAATTGTAGATGGCTTAATGAACACAACGCATCTTGGAGAAGTGGTAATTAAAAACAAAAGCTCTGAGAAACATTCTGAGTTAGTGGCTCTGAAAAGTATCTGGACACTTCGAGCTGTGGTAGATGGGTACTTTTTGAAGTAATTTTAAAAAAAAAATTCTTTAACCCCTTTCAAAATACTGAAATTCACGTAGTGTCAATGGAATGACATGTTTGCACTATTAATAGGCTTTGTGGCTAGAGAAATTTTAAACTGTGAGCAGTCACATGTATTTTCAGATAATATTTATGAGTAGGGATGGGAATCACTTCTTGCAGAGAACTGGTTGTACCTTTGAATTGTTACTCTGCTTGTCTGTAAATTTGATTAAAGGTGCCACTTATACTATAATCAGCTGATTTCAGTCCATGGGTCAGAGGTGGACGATAGTGACAAAGTCTACAATTCAGATTTGGACCTTACTTTTATTTTTGCTGAACAAATGGACAAGGGTGCGATGGTAAAATGCATACTCCATCAAGAATAGAAACAACTGCATTATAGTGCAAATAGAACTTCGGCTCTTTGCAAGTATGCTAATGATAAGCTAGCCAAGAATCCATAGTGACATTAAATCTGAGTGGATGCCAAGTGCAGCAGCAGTGAGACCCTGAACTTCAACAGGTAAAAAAAGCAATGATGAACAGTAAGACTGGACATCATTTCTACCACCTGTTCATGTTTCTAAAGGAGAATCACTGCTGAAGTCTCTTTGTGCTGGGTTTTGTGTTGTCAGCAGTGTTGCGTTCATACCGATTCATTAACCTCCTAGGACCTGGCGTCCACATATGTGGACATCACATTTTGGGTTATTTAGACCAAAATACTCAATTTTGCTCTACAAGGGCCTGATATCCACTTACAAGGACATTATACTGCTACTGTTCTATCAAAATTTGGTCTGTCCAGTGTCCTCCCTCGCCACCTGATCCAACTCACCACACAGCAAAATCTCCAGTGTTAAATTAAAACACTAGAGAGTGTCTATATGGGTCCACACCTCTGAGTGTTAAATACAACACTGTTGAGTGTTAAATTAACACTTTTGACAGTGTTATATGTTTAAAAGTAACCTAGTCAGTTTTGAAGATTAACAAAGACTAACACTGAGCAGTGCTGATTTTCTAACACTGGAATATTTCTAACATTTTGAGTTATTTTCCAGTGTTAGAAAATCAGCACTGCTCAGTGTTAGCCATTGTTAACACGGTGCCTCCTGCGGGTGGTGGGCCTGCAGGAAGATGGGCCCATGTCCCTTTTTTGGGCTGTGCCCGGCCGGGCCCCATGGACTAAGGCCCGGTCACCAGATGCTCGCCCTCAGGCACCCTTCCCAGACCTGGCTCCAGGGCGGGGCCCCGGTAACCCTATCCCGGGCAGGGTGAACTGTTCATAGGGGTCTTCTGAATCGCTCTTTGTCTGGTCCCTCACCCAGGACCAATTTCCCATGGGAGACCCTACCACGGGGCAAAAGCCCCCAGACAACATAGCCCCTGGGATCCCTGGGACACACAAACCCCTCCACCACGATAAGATAGCGATTCGCAGAGGGGATGTAAAGAATAGTTTAATTAATTGTTCTCTCTTTGGAGTAGTTAAAAAAGTACAGCATTGCTTTTAAGAAAACTGTTCAGTGTAATAGTTTTGTTTTGGTTTTTTGAGTCATGACCCCAGCACTAATCATAACAACATCAGTGATGTATACTCAGTAATTATTAGAGTCAATCCATAGAAGATCATTTTTGGCATTGTTTGGGTTATTATGTTACATGTTTGATTTGCATGTCAATGTGTCAGGTAGGATGAACCTTGTACGGCACATGTGTGGTAGGACTGTTTTGGCAGTCAGATGGGCACATGTTTATTTATAATTTTGATAAACGCATCATAAAAGTATTTCCATGCCAGCTCTACAACAGTGATGTGGAGCTGATTCTATTCCAGTTATAGTTCCATAAATCACGAGAGAAAGCTTGATCACAGAAATGGTTAAAAGTTCATTTAAACACTATTTGTGGTCTTGATTTTGGAGCTTCAATTGTCTAACTGCAGCTACCACACAGTGGCCACTGATATAATTTCCAAACCAGAGTCTCAGTTAAAAATAAATAATTTTCTGGGCATTTAAGATTTGGGTGAGTTTTAGCTGTAAATTAGTGTTAAGTCAAATTGTTGAATGTTGTCATTGTGTTTCTTAAATTTGTAAAGTCTTAGTTCAAACTATAGGATCAAAGGCATTCCTTTGTCTGACCCCTCCCCAGCCTCTCGAGGTTCTGGGAGGAGGCTGTAGTGTTTTATCACAGACACATCCCATGTGAAGATTCTGTCTGTTGTTTGGTAAACTTCCTGCCGTTTTATGGCTTCACCTGTGTTGTGTATGGTGTACCAATACAGGAATTGAACCATATATTGGGTGTGGGGAGATTACCCCCTTATGACCAAGGATGTTGTGATCAAGAGGACACACACACGCACACACACGCACATAGACACACATACACACACACACACATATCCACAGTGCCTTGTCTTAGAACCATTGGGGGGGGGGGGGGGGGTGGGGGGGGGGGGGGGTGTTTCGGTGGGAGGTGCTTGTGTTTTACCGTGTAAACTGTAACTGTCATGGGAATAAAAGGCTACGAGGAGAGCTGCTCTTGGAAGGAGTTGATCTAGAGACAGGTGAGGAGCATTTAGTTTCACAGCCTGGTTCTGACCAAGCCTTTCCTCGCTAGCGAGTAAAAGACTGGTTGAAGATGTTCTGTCTTGTTTTTCGTTCTTCATGAGGAATAAGTCTCTAAACTAGTGGGGCCTGTGGAAACACAGACTCAACAATTAGTTTTGTAGACATAGACTTAAACTCTCTGAGGAACAGAAGGCAACCAGGTAAAATCTCCAGCTGGGAGAATTTCATTAAGTTCCATATGAAACATCACAGAAGTTTGGTGTTGAAGTGTCCAAATTCTTTATGGGGCCAATTTCCAGTATGTGTATTATAAGGGTATCGGGTTAAATGTATTGTTACAAATATTTTTTTTCACGATTCCAAGTTTCCCATCATCTCTTCAATAATTATCCTCTCACTTCTGCCTTATTTTGTTTTTTCAAACTAGTCCCCTCCAGGAAACGAGCAATCATACTCTATATTCAGCTCAGTACCTGCTGCTGATCCAGGTGAGCTTCTTTGTATCCTTATTTATAAGAATGTAAACGATACAATTTAATGGCAATTCTATAAAACCTCAAAAACCTTTTTCTATAACATGCTTTGCATTAACCTGTTAGCAGTCGGACGTACCGCCCACGGTACATTGGATGGTTTAGGGGACTAATTGTAAATTTGTAGGACTGCTAAGGGGTTAAAGATTTTCCTTTTCAGTTGCAGATTCTACTCAAGAAGATGGACAGCAACTTCAAAAAAATGAAGTAAGTATGTCACAAGCAGAGATAGCAAAAGTATGGACATTCTTAAGCAGAAGTGTTAAAGAAATTAACATTGGAGACAGTGGAGAAAAAAAAGAAAACAAGATGTACATTTGTAAAAATTTTGTGAGATCTCGTGTTACCTCTGTGAGGTCCCACAAGTCCATGCACTTCCAGGTCAGTACTGAGACCTTGGAATCAACCATAGCGATGGAAGACAAACACTTGCGGGTTCTTAGTGTAAGCAGGCAGAGTCGTCACAAGGAGTATACTGACCTGGCAGTTTTGGTTGAATTCATTAACAGTGTTGGGACTAACGCGTTATTAAGTAACGCGTTACAGTAACTACGTTATTATTGTGGTAACGAGCACGATAACTAGTTATCATGCCAAAACCGGGAACACGTTACTCGTTACTGGGATTTAGATAGGCTCGTTATTCGTTACTTCGTGTGGTGGCTATCGCGGAGCTTCCACAGATTCAATAACATTAGCAAGTGGTGGAAGCCAGCAGGTGGATGAAGGAAAAGGGAGGCAAGAGGAAGAGAGACCCAAAGCGGCCGCTGGTCCGAGTGTCAAGTGAACTGAACTTCAGGTAAGAAGTTATGACCTGCAGTCCATCTGGATCAGATATGAACCAAGTTTAGGTGGAGTTTATTTTCGTTATGCCGACTTTTTCGTACTGCATGCTAGCTAGCATGACGAAGTTTCTATACAGCTGGGTGGTGCTATGTTACTGATGTTGAACTTTATTTTGTTCATAAGGTTAATTGTTAGAGCTGCCAACCGTCCTGTACAAAATGGAATCGTCTCGTATTCAGAGAAAATATTACGCGTTTCGTATTGAGATGAAAAGGAACACAGTTTGTCCCGGACTTCAGCTACAATGAAAAAGGCACAAAGCTGAAGTTATTCTGTGTTTACGCTGCACAGCTGCCTGTTCTTCTCTCATCCTCTCCCCTCCCTCTCCTGTTTCTACTTCAATCATGAAACTGATCAATTATCAGCTGATCGGCTTTTCTCTCTTGCTTGTTTATCGCCCACTTTGCGCCAGAAAGAGGAAACTAGCGGATGTCGCGGTAAACAACAGCAGCACTTTTAGGCTTGATCAGCTGTTGTTAGAATTTATTTAATATTAATTTCTAGTATCAGCTGATGTTTGCTGGAGCCACAGCTGTAAAGCTGCTGGCCATGATATCGGTTTGAATATGTGGTGAGAGGGAAACATGAAGATGAAACCAGGAGATGTCCTTACTGGATCATCAGAGCTGTGATGGAGAAACAGGTTTACCTTTTAGGTGACATGAATGAGTTGAAGGGAAGTTATGAACTGTTTCTGAGTGACAAATAACACCAGGATCCTTTTCTAAGTAGCTGACAGCTGGTAACTGTGCAGGGGCGGGTCTAGCAAAGTGTTGCCAGGGGTCCATGTAGGGCAGTAAAAGGGAAAGGGGGGCACAAGGAAACACTTTCTTTTTCTCATTTAAAAGGTCTCAATTTTAAAAAAAAATTTATCTGAGTCTTGCAACAAACAATTGATAAATTTATACATATATACCATCAGAACAGTGTACATCACTGTCACAACATCGTTTATTTTCATTCAAAGGCTTTATGATTTTTCCTATAATGGTGGGCCGGGCTCTAGTCAAAATGACGATTTTTTTGTCCCAGTCCAGCCCTGTATGCAGCTCATCTGCAGTCTGGTGTTGCCTACATCTTCCTATTCAGAAGGCAGAATTTCCAAGTTCTGAGTACAATCGAAAGCACCACGACTGCAGTTTTTGTGTTGGATGTAAAAGGCGCACATGACGCTGTGACGTAGGCTAGAATCATGGCAGCAGTCAATGACGGTCCAGGCGTGGGATTTCTCTCGTGGAAATATGCACATTATCTTTTCCTTTCTATTGGTAGGTGGCACAGTGCACTGTGGCAAGTAAGCAAGCTAGAAGACTGGCACTCTTGCTGGGTATCCAGTTACGGAAGGAACACATTAACAAGAGAATTCTGAGTTAAACCAAAGTTACTTTCCCTAGTAACTGAGTTACTTTTGATAGAAGTAACTAGTAATGTAACTAAGTTACTAATTTAAAGTAACTTACCCAACACTGTTCATTAACTACCACCTGAAGTACTTTGAAGCTCCAATATCAAGTACAATAAATGCAGGAGGGGGAAGCATTTCTCAATCTCTCGCAAAACTTTTGCAGGATCTTGCAAAAGTACATCTTTTTCTTTTTTTCTCCCATGTCCCTTGCAAGGCTCTGTACATTTGAAATTATCTGCCTCATAAAAATATTATACCCTTATCCTCACTCCTCTTCTATAGCTAGCTAGATGCTGAAGTACCATGATCACAATTTGTGCCCATCTGCACTTGTCCCGGTGTTTTGCCATAAAAAGCACTGGCCCACTTTAATTCCTATGGCGCTATAAATAATGCAAAAATACAGTAAATGCAGTAATGTGAAATAATAACTCCCCTCAAATGTCCTAAAACAAAAGTAACAAGCCTGTTTTGAAAATGTAAGAAGCAGAAAGTGTTAGTTGTGTTAAAATGTAAGGAGTAAAAGTGAAAAGATGTCAGAAAAATAAATGCTTAAGTAAAATACAGATACCTTACAAGTATTTGTACTTTGTTACTTCCCACCTCTAGTCACAAGGGTAACATTAAATCTGCTGGTCATATAAGTTAATAGATAATACAGTTTATTTTCTCCCCCCCCCAGTCTGACATATACCATTTGTACTCAACCATCCCCAAGAAGCCAGCTACATCAGCCCTGAAGAGTATGGTGTATAGCACTGTGAACCCTATGTACACCTCTGTGAACTCCGTGTAAACTGCAAATGAAAATTGTTTTAACTTAACTGCCTTAAGACAGTTTGATAGCCTAAATGTTAAATTCCTGATTAAATTAAAAATGTTTTGAAAAAGTATTGTTTTCTAATGTGTCTATTTTATGCTTAACACATTTTTTGTAATGTTTTTTTTATATATATATATTTTGTTTTTCCTCCAGGACTGTATATACAGTAAATAGCATCACATTTATATTCAATGTCTGCAATTCAGCTACACAAACTCACCCACACAAAAAAGTATCTTAATGTGTAAATGATGGAAAATATTTATTTGCATTTATTCATCAGCTTTCCTAAACATGTAGTTACGAGTATGTGGTCACCTTGACAAATGGCTGAACACATCAATGCCACATTCTTCAAACACACTGCTCTTTTTCATGCACCTTGTACTTTTCTTAAATATAATTTGCTTTAAAAAAACAGAATAAAGCCATTTAATATTTTCCAATGTCTCACTACTATTTTACATGATCCATTACAGACATCAAAGCAAATTTAGTAAAACAAATAAATTTTACTAAATAAATTGTTTTAACAAATCATTACTGTTTGTAATGATTTACTGCCTAAAACAAAGACCACTCTGCATTCTTTTCTCATTTCACAAAAGTGCATTTTACATTCTGCAGACAATAGCTTTCATATTTTTCCTGACACAACAAATAATCAAACATTTAATGTCTTCCTGTGCACAAAGGCATGTCTTAGACTTTGAGTAAAGCACTCTCACTTGTTGAGAGGCATTCTACGTTTCTTTCTTCTAATAAATTCAGCACACATGTAGAGCAATTTTGCAAACTCTATTTGGTATGCTCTGCTGTGCGCTGATCAAAGTCACCAAGCACTCCTGTTATTCTCATTTTCTTTTGTTCTCTGCATTAATGGATGTGTCTCAGTGCTAAAGATTTTGTCTTTGCAGAGTACTGCCTGTATTAGAGGTATGAGCAAATTCATGTTTTTATGTGTCTATAAGCTTCTTCTCATTGAATTAGTCCTTACTGATTTCCACTGCAGCTGCTATTGGTCACCTGCTGATGGTCGCTGTTATCAGAGGCAGCAGAGCTGCTGCTAGGGGACCGGAGAAGCGTGTTGCTGAACCGCACTCCATGGCATTTTCCTGTAAGGTACACAATCAATTGTCATATTGCAGTACACATGCTTTTTAGTAAACTTACCAGCTGTATTTGGCTATGACAGTACTGAATATAACTTTAGATAACTTTTTTTAATAATGTTAACTTGACCCATATAATGTTATTTATATAAAAACAAAGTGAAATAACTATTCAGTGACATGGATGAGAACGATCGCCCTTGGAATTGCAATGTACAAGTGAAAAATACAGATGTGGACAATCAGGATTTAAAATAAACCCAAAGAAACCAACCCTCTAAAATTGTGGGATGAGTTAACAATTCATAGCTGAAAATTTTAAATATAAGATTTTAAATATGTACATTTTTATTAACAGATTAGTTTTTAGACATTTAATGCTAGAAGAGGATATGCCATCATCACTCCACATTGTGTTTGGACTGGCCTTTCATATACTACTGTAACCCACATCTTAAAAGAAGCAAGCCAGTAGGTTAAAAATCAAGTACCAGCTCCCTATTACTACTACCACTTTAACTACTATCTCTAAAGCTAACTTACTATTACATTATTATAACAATATTATGTTATTCTTACAGAAAGAAAACAGTTTCAGTGATGTTATATGGAATTATATTACCATTATCACATTTTCATAGAGTAGCACATAACCTTATTTGTGTTTCCTTTACTGTCAGCTTTCACTGTATCGCTGTTGACCTGCATACATACAGATAGTGTGTGCAGATCAGCACTTTCACATACCTCAGGGTGGAAAGGATGACATGATTCAGGCTTTTTTCTGTCCTTCTGATACTTCAGTCTCTCACATTTTAGTGACTCGTTGTGTTCAAAGGAGTCAAGGGTGTAAGAATAAATCAACAAGATATGGTTCTAAGTTTGAAACCCAACTAGCATGCATTAAACCTCACTTACCCTAAACCACAACTTCAAATATAACCCTAAGTGTAATCATCTCAATAGTAAACCCCTCAAGATGAAATTCATAATGATCACTTTTTCTCACAGCCAGCTAAACACATTTAGGAAACAAAATATTTTTTTTAAAAAACTTTCAACTATTTTGTTTCAGTTCATGAAATGTCTCTGCTTCATATAGAAAGGATATATATGATCTCAATGGGATCCATTGTCACTGGAGGAGCACTGCTGCAGTCACACTTATTATCCACAACAACCATGAACAGGTTGCTGCTGGGAATCTGCTGTATGACAAAAGATCTGCAAAACAAACACAAAGTCTAATTTTAAAAAAAGTTTAATGTTGGTTAAATATAATCAAATGATACTATTAGATTATTATTTCATGATTAATAGACAGTTCACTTGGCAGCACCTGATGCAGCCGTCGCACTCAATGTTTCCAGTTGTTTCTTTGATGGTGCGTTCAGACACAAATGCAGGGTATTCTGTATCACATGGTACCATCATGGTTTTACCCCGAGATCTCTGAGCTGAACGTGAAACAGAGCAGGTTTAACTGAAACACAGAGGCTTTACAAAATCAGCATTAAGCAGAAGAGGTTTTCTTTCTGCCGCTCATACTTTCCAAATATTCTCCCTCTCTCAGATCTCAAATGCCTATAAATCATCACGAAGTTACGGTTACCTTTAACTGAGAGATCAATATTCCACCAGCTGTACAGGTTAAATTCTAGCAGGAAACTAAGAGAAAAGCAGAAACATAAAACATAATCAGTGTTTGTGATGAAAGTTATGAGAATAGAGTAAACCATACTAAACAAATATTTTATCAAAAATTCTTACATGACAAGTTCAGTCAGAAGCCATTTAACTACAGAAAATGGCTAAAAGACAAAGAAAAGATAAGGTCAGCTTTTTTATTTGCTTTGTTTTGTATTGATTGTTGTAAATGCTGTAGTTCATTTCCACTTGTTCAACATGCATCAGCCGCATGCAAATGATAACCACAAACGGAAATATGTTCGATGGCCAGTGGTTTAGTTTGAGGACATATGCAGCTGTAGATGTTGTGAACCACAGATTATAAATATCCTTTGACTTCTCTTCCTCTAAACGCTGTCTGTTGCACACTTACATCTGACAAAGTGCGTGCACTGTCACTGCTCCCAGCATACTCTCTGCAAAGGGCCTGGTAGTCATAAAGAGTGATCCTGAAACACACACAGCACAGTGAAGGTCTTAATAAACATCCGATCTCATCATCATCATCATTTATTTATATAGCACTTCGAAAACACACCTGGTAGACCAAAGTGCTGTACAATAAAAATATAAATATAGTAATAAAATTGCAAAAACCAAACATAGCAATAAAATTAATAAAAATGTCAGTTACCCACAGAGTTAAAAGCCAGGGAGTAAAAATAGTTTGTTTTTTTATCTGGACTTAAAAACTGGCACTGATGTAGCCTGTCTAATATGGAAAGGAAGAGTATTTCAAAGCATCAAAGCCGAAATAGAGAATGCACAGGCTCCTCTAAGTTTCAGCTGTGACTTACGGACTGAAAGCAACAGCTGCTCAGCTGACCGAAGCGAACGAATGGGGACATGGGGCTTCAACAAAACAGACAACACAAAAAGTCCAGTTTGAGAGACAAGATTTTAACCACAAAAGTGCCGAACCAGAAATTCCCACACAGTGCTGTAAGCGGGAGATCAGCAAATCATGATCCACTGTGACGTATGCAGCGGTCTTGTCCAACAAGACAAGCACTGCATATTTACCACGCTCTGTCGTTATCAGAATGTCATTCATAACTTTTACGAGGGCTGTCTCCATACTGTAAAAGGGCTTACAGCCGGACTGAAAGATTTCACACAATTGAGAGTCATTCAAATAGTCCATCAACTGAGTATAAGCAATCCTTTCCAGGATCTTACTCAGAAAGGGAAGCTTAGAGATGGGTCTAAAATTTGACATGACTGAGCTGTCTAACCCTGGTTTCTTAAGTAAAGGATGTATGACTGCATGCTTAAATTCGTTAGGTACTTGACCAGACAAAATACTAGTATTGTATAGTATACTAGTATGTTCAGAATGTGTGGTCCGATGGCAGGAAATACCTTTTTGAGAAAGCGGGGAGGAACAACATCATTTGGAGAGCCACACGGCTTAGATTTCAACACAGTTTCACTAAAACAGGTAAAACAATTGGTAGAAAAGCAAGAACCATGCATGCCAGATCAGCAGAGGTCTCAACCTAGCAACCTTGTCCACAAAATAATTAAGAAACTTATTGCACATAACCTGAGAAGAGTGCAAAAGAACATAGCCTTCTGTATTACATACAAGTACATAATTTATAGTGTTATAGAATACACGAGGGTTATGCGAGCTGGCAGCAACAAGTTGAGAAAAATAGGAGTGCTTGGCAGCCTTTGCTGCTCTCTGATAGAGGTTCACAACAGTGAAGGAGAGTGGCCCAGTTCGCACAAACAGAGTTCAAAACTGGTGTGGCGTGTTGAAGGGGATAGCTGCTTAAAGTCAAGATGTGCCTTATTCTCATATATAACAACATGCTTTTTAGCCTTT